CTTGTTATATTAATAATAAGAAGATTGATCTAAATAAATAGCCAATAAGGTAGTTTGGGGATATTTATTTGATATAAAATGACTAACTCATGGAAGTTTGCCATACTGAGTTGATTTTATATAGTGCAAACTGTTGTGTTTTTTTAATTTCTATTCCATCTGGTTCAAAAATGACTTGTAGCAGTATTTAGACTAGAAGATAACTATGTAATGTTTGTTTGGGTTGTTTTTGCTAACTCTTAATTGTGTTGTCTGATTGCTTTTAAGTTTTGTACCTTGTCCCATCACAAGACTAGTCACGGGCTTGGCAGATAGACTGACAGAGAAGATGTATATTTTTTACTTTTTTTTTTTTCTTCTTTTTTTTTCTTTTTAATGATTGGAGTTTGGTGAAAGGGCCTTTTTAAATTTTTGATTCTCTGCCATCCCTATTCCTAGTTCTTGCATAACTGTGAACTCTAGACCTATGGTGGCAATCAGAAATAGCAATTATTACTGATGACTTTTTTTTTTTTTTTTTTAGAGAAAGTCTTGCTCTGTTGCCTGGGCTAGAGTTCTGTGGCATCAGCCTAACTCATAGCAACCTCCAACTCCTGGGCTCAAGTGATCCTCCTGAGTACCTGGGACTATAGGCGCTTACCACCATGCCCGGCTAATTTTTGTTTCTATTTTTAGTTGCCCAGCTAATTTTTTTCCTTTTTTTTTTTTTTAGTAGAGACGGGGTCTCGCTCTTCCTTAGGCTGGTCTCGAACTCCTGACCTCAAGCGATACTCCCTCCTCGGCCTCCCAGAGTGCTAGGATTACAGACATGAGCCACCGCGCCTGGCCACTGCTGAGTTCTTAACATGTACTTTTGCTGGTCGTTAGAATGCAGGAGGTGGAGAGAACTGACATTTAGTTCCTATTATGAGCCACTGATGATGGCAAGGTGCTTTTTGTGTACTACCTTATTTAATCTCTCAAAATGAGAGATGATGCTTATCCCTAATTTATAGGTGAGGAACCCAAAGCTTAGAGAAACTGAGTGATTTTCTCTAATCATCGCCGACTAGTAAGTGAATTAGAACAGAATGTAGATCCAGGTTTGTCTGTTTCCTAAAAATGAGAGTGTAAGCATAAGTGGTCCCCACAATTTGTTAAGAAGCCAGACAAATGTAGTGATCTCCCCAAGAAGATCAATACTAGACAGTTGTTAATTAATAGTCTCACTCTAAAATTTTCCCTCCAATTTTGATACCTGTAGGGCTACAGAGTTATAGAAGAGAAACTTCCAACTATCAGGTCAGAAGAAGAAAAAGTCAGATTTGAAAGGCAAAAAGCCTGGTGCTGCTCAACATTGCCAGAGCCTGCAATCTGTGGAATCAGTCGAATATGGGTATTCAGCATGATGCGTCGGAAAAAAATTGCTTCTCGCATGATTGAATGCCTAAGGTAACTTGAATGTAATTCTTCAAATCATTTTCAGTAGTTTAGGATTTAGGCAGAGTTTTAATATAAAGATTGACATTTAATTAATCATAAGTATATAACCTTTATTTGTATTAATTATAAAT